AGTCTTTACCTAGTGATGTTGCAAACACAGAAATGCTGGCTATCTTCAAGGGGACACTGAGGATCGTTCCCAAACGAACTGATGGGTTATTGACTAACACTACTCCTAATTTCTAATTCTAATTCATGAACATATATCTCTCGCATGTCACAACTACACTATAATAAATGCTATGCTTTCATTTGTATTATACGACAACCCACGCATTTTACGTAGCTTCATTCGGTTTAGGGCATTTTTAATCGCTGATAAAAGAAAGCAGTAGTGTAGCGGTTTAGGCGTGTGCAAACGAAGAAATATACAATCTTCAAACACGGCTATACACGTTTAAATACATTTTATTATCGAGTATTTGCTTTCCTACAAACTGAAAGAAATAAATTACAAATAATCTTTGCGAAAAATTTCTCACAAATATATTTTTGCCCTCTTTTCAATACAACAGAATTAATAATTATTTAGTATGAGAAAAGAAACAGAACGTGTCTACGTATGGTGAGTGTCACGTATTTTACGGTATTTTGTGAATGCGTGCAATTTTCTAGAAGCGGCAATAATGAGTCAGAACGATAATTTTATTATTCTACTACTTACGTTTGTAAACAAACTCAGTCCGTTTGAAGTTCGAAATGTGCTTCATTAATTTTATTTTAAATCGCCTCTCTTTGCATGAAATTACTCGAATAAAATATACAAACGGTTTTGAGAATTCAGCTTCTCCACAACAACACACAACCAACCCATGTCAAGTTTTTACAAAAAAACTGAAAGTTGAATAATTAACTTTACATCACCAATATTTATAAGAAAAATAGTCTCCAGAAATCTAAAAGACAGGTTTTGCTAAACTCGGAGTCTGATTCATAACTAATTTCTCATTTTTAAATATCTATTTTAAAAAGGCAAAATATTGTTGATTATATGCTACAAATCCTACAAATTTTGTAGAAGACGATAAATATAGTTGTCTGAAAATTTCAAAGAGTTCAGCGCGCTAATTGGTTAATATACGCGAATGTGGAAATTTAAATTGGAGCTGAAAGATTTAAAAAAAAAACGCGCTTATTTTTAACGCGTCTGATTGGTTAATATACGCGAATGTGGGAATTTAAATTGGAGCTGAAAGATTTTAAAAAAAATGAGTTAATTTTGAGTCTAAGTAATATAACTTAAATCTATGTAATTTTTCTACAATTCTCTAACGGGGTTCAACGAATGTATGCAGCTGACTGTTTAGAAGGAAATTTGCGCCAAGCCCGGCATCAGTATCAAATTTCGATTGGATGATTCTATTTAAAAAAGTAGTTTTAAGTTAATGATTTTCGTTTTACCTACACAAATCATATTCGGACTAATGTCCTCACCATTGTTGCTTTATTATAAAGTTTCAGCCGTTGTGCCCTTCAGCCGTCCTCAGGTTTAGATCGATATACACCTATATAACGACTGTAAATAATGATAACAGCTCATACCAGGAATTCAGAAATCACCTTTAGTTTTTATGAATTTTTGTATTAGGCGAAACTACTACTAATGCATCTATAACAAATTTGCTTATACCTAATTCTAAAGGTGTTATAATTGGTTCAAATATTATGGTTCTGTAAGAGGTTTCCATATATTATTCCATACACATTACCTGACAAAAGTATTTGTCCACCCTGATTTTTAATAATACAATTTAAGCAACCCAACGGTTTTATTTATTTAACTAAATACAAGTCCTCCTGAGCCACATTGAATACTGATATGTCCCGGAAAGGGATATATTTGTTCGAAGTAGCAAAGTGGTTATTGACTACTGTAACCGAGTAGGACAATCTAGCAGGTTACAGTAATGGACTGGTCAGCGTCGTAGAGGT